TAACTCTTACAGTCTCTGTTTTATTGTGCTTCATCCTTACGGTATACTTTATATTTTTTTTTTTGAATTTTTGAGTATATTATCTTTTATTTTTTAAAAAATATATTTTTCTTGTCTAATTAAAAAATAATTGCTGAATAGTGAATATATATTATTTTGAATATTTTTTAATTTTAAATGTATTATCATTTAATTTGATTTATTTATTTAATTCTGAATGTATGTGGTTTCTTGGGACTTGAATTCACTTAGAATAATTATTTTGTATGTAATAAAAAATTTTAAGTTAATTCTTTTAGTTATTACAATTACTAAATACATGGTTTAGTACTTGAAAAATTTTCATTTTTAAGTCTTCATGCTGTCAAATTTTTTAAAATATTGAATTAAATAGTTCATATTTATTTTTAATCCTGTAATTCAATTTTCACGTTGTATGTTTCTGATTGGCTAGACTATATCCTAATTTTTTTTAATTAGTTGTTTTAGATATCAATAGTTGTCTGTTGCTTGACTTGATGGATATCAATAGGTATAGGATATGGACCAAAAGTGAATATTTGTTAATTAGTTGTCAAAGGAATATAGGGCTAAGGTGAAAGGGTTTATTCATTTTGTAGTTAAGCATGCCAAAGATTTGAACAAAATTTTGTATTCTCGCTCAACTTGTTACTATGAAAAGCGAATTATTCTGACTGAGTTGCTAGATCATTTAATATGTCATGGTATTGATTAAAGTTATACATGTTGGATAAGGTATAAGGAGATAAATGATGTATCTAATGAAAGGGTGTATACCATGAGGTCTTTTGAGAGATAAGAAGCATGCAATGACACTGACAACAATAATATGTGTGAGACTAATTGTCTTGATGAAATGCTAAATGTAATAGAGGATGATCTTTGTGATTGCCCTTAAATATTTGAAAGGTTGATCAGTGATTCAAAAAAAACTATTGTATCCAACTTGTACTAAATACACTAGACTATAAGCATTTCTGATATTGTATAATTTAAAAGCTGCTTGTAGATGAAACGATAAGAGTTTTACTCTATTACTTGATGCTTTAAAAGATATATTTCCTGTTGATAATGAACTTTCTACCAAGACATATGAAGCTAAACAACCACTTTGTTCAATTAGTTTGGGTTATGAAAAAATACATGCATGTCCTAACGATTGTATGTTATTTTGTAATAAATATGTTTTCTTAGAGAAGTGCCCTAAATGTGATGCATCACAATATGGAAAGAAATCAAGTCCTGTAAAGGTATTATGATATTTTCCTATTATATCGATATTTAGATGCATGTATAAAAATGTAAAAGTTTCCAACTTGTTAACATGGTAGGAGAATGGAAGGATTAAAGATAAAAAACTTAGGCACCCTGCAAATTCTCCTTAGAGGAAAAAAAGTCATTACTATTTTATCTTTTTGATTATTTTTTCCTGTACTTATAGTGATCCAAATTATTTTCTTTCTTACAGTCTTGTTTTGAACTTGATGAGACTCATAGAACACATGTCTTCAAGAAACCGGAGTTCTTCTTAGAAAGTTTCATGTAGATATTTAGAAATGGTATTTAATATATAATAATTAAGATATCATTGAACACCCACCAGAGCTTTAAGATGGGATCATATCTTAAGAAGATTGGGATCAATTTGTTGTTCTAGCACACACAACGAAAGAATTTAAGTTAAATAATTTTAGATTGTCAATTAAATATAGTTTTACTCATATAAAATTAATATGAATTCAATTTACATTTGAATAGGTGACGAGTGATATCGTCAACTAGCAAAAAGTCAAAAATATCTCTTCAAAAGGTGATGGAAAGGATACGCATTCATCGAACAAGATAAAGTATTTATTTTATATTTAATAATCATTACATTTATCTATTACATATGTAGTGGTTTATAAATTCAATTAATTGTTTTAATATGTAAATCAAAAAGGACAATTTAAATTGCAAACAACTTACATGACATGAAGTGTGGGTTGAAGGACAACTAAGTTCAAAAAGTGAAATTGAATATGAAGGTGTGAGGCAAGTTTGGCAGTTATGTACATATTAGTATTTAGTTCATGTTTAAAATTTTATTTACATGATTTTATTTTATAAATAATCTATGATGATTCTTATATGATAGCAAACTTTTTCACAAGAGAATCTTTTTTTATTTTAAAAACATGATTTCATTTTAAGGTTATTATCATTTTTACAATATAAATTGCTGAATATTTTATTTTTTCTAGGGAGAATACAAATGCAAATTGTACATAGAAATTTCCTTCAAAGATGCAGTTATCATAGGTACTGTTTACAATTTCATTAAAGATATTTTACATAAGATTCCATTACACCCTGGCACGTTGCGAGTTTCTGTGGACATTTGCACTAATGATGATGTGAAGTTATGAATACCTTTTAATGAGGATATTGTATTAGTTAAAGATGCTGAGGTCACTTTAGTTGTATGGCCTCTATATCTCATTGAATCATGTGATAGGATAATTATATTTTCATACTTTCTTATAATACTCTAGATGTAATTATAATTATATAACTTAATTTTTTGATTTTTACAGACTTATTCAAAATTAAAAAATAAGAAAATAATTGAAGCGCATGATAATATTTTCAAGAAATCTAATACCATGCATAAAAGAAAAGTGTATCTCATGGAATTTCAAAAATAAAAAAGGCTAACAATCATCATGAAGTTTTTTGGCCTCTTTTGCCAAAGCTTACTACTATTGACTAAATAATTGAAATAAAATTTGAAGAAGAAATCTATTATAAAGATAGCTAAAAATATCTTGATAGAAATACTATGGTGAAAATACTTAATTGAGAATGGGTGAGTGCTTCTGCTATTAACACCTAAATAAAGTACTTGCTTCATAATATCTTTTGATATTGATTATTTTATTTCTCATTGTGATTGATTTTAATACATTTTTCTGCTATTTAGCAAGGTATTTGTACATTTCTTTTTTGAAAGACATGAAAAAAGATAATAGATTTTTATTCATTAATTCTCATGATATTAGTCATGGGTCGATGTCGAGTACATCTGATCTTGTAAAAGAAATATTCACAGAAAAGGCAAAAGTTAAAAAAAATATGTTATTTTTAATACCTTACAGTATGGGGTAGGTATTTTATTAATTATTTTTTTTAATTTCTTGACATGTTAGATACCTTAACTTTATCAAGCCATAATCAAAGTTTAAATTTTTTTAAAAAATATTGAATTTTGATTGTTATCAATTATGTGACTGTTCCTTTACTTTTAATTTATTATATCGATCCTCTATATGGAGACATGCCAATAAATTGGCCTAATATATTGAGGTTATTCAATAAGTAATTATTTATATTTATAAGAATCATTTTACATATTTGTATATATTTTACATCAATTATCATTGATTAATTTTTCTCTATTTTGATAGGGCATTAAATAATTTTTGGAATCATAAAGAGCTCCCCTTTTTCAAAAATAAAGACTTTTCAAAGAATTATTAATGGACAAAGATTATGGTATATTTATACCTGAAAGATTTTATTGAATTATTAAAAATAAATTTATTTGCTTCATAAATTTATATTACTTTTTGGTAATTTTTTAATGCCCTTTCCAACCAAATATAATGATTGTGGGCACCATATTATAAAATTCATAAAGGATGTAATCACTCATGGTCAAACTTTTGTCCCATTTAAAGTATGAAAATTTATTTAATTTTATTTAGGTTTGATAATTTTTAGTCATATATGACTTCTTATTTTCATATATTTTGTACTACTATGAGAACGCAAAGTATTTGAAATGTAATGATGAGCAAATTTATGATCTAATTGAAGAGTGGTTATTTTAAATTTAGGATGCCAAAACTTAAGTAATTGTTGAATACTTTTGTAAAATTTAAGGCTGTTAGATAATTTGACCTAATTAGAGAACTTAGAGATATTAATATAGTTATAAACTACTTTATTGTATTGCAAATATATATGTAACTTTTCATTATATAGCTGAATTATTTGCAAATTACTGTACTAGTAATATATTATTAGATATGTTTTGAAAAATTTAGGTGTACTATATTTTATAAAATTTATTTTTTTAAAAAATAACATTAGGTGGCATCACCTATGTCAATTTTATTTTTTAAAAAAATCAAAGAGGTGACATTTCTTTCATAAGAAAAGACCATCTATCTAGACTTAACATATGTGGTGTTTCAATCATCACCTATGTTCTTTTAAATTTTTTAAAAAAATGAAATCATAGAGGTTACATTTATAGATTGTAGAAATGCTATCTTTATTGAATTTTTAATTTTTAAAAAATTTATCATAGAGGTGACGTTTGTACTTATTGAAAACACTACATCTATTGATGATATAGAGGTGTCATTTCAATATGAAGTAAATGCACCCCTTTTAATATTTTTTAAAAGTAAACTCAAAGAGGTGGCATTTGTAAAAGAAAATGCCCTCTCTCTGTCATTAGTCTTATGATATTTTAATAATTAATGAAATACTACCTAATACCTATTGTATCATTAGATCTTATGCTGTTTTAGAAACATCACGGAACTAAAATTTTAGATGCCACCAAAACTGATTTCTAAAGTAGTGAGCATTGATCAATTATAAAGAGCATAACTTGGTTATTAAATTTTATTTGATGGATAATAAAATTTGTAATATTTTTTTAAAAAAATAATTACTCCCCTTTATTTAGTGCAAACCGAATGAAAGTTGTATTCTAACTGATTACGCTGGGCGTGTATGCATTATATATTCAATATGGTAGTATAAAAGGAAAAGGGAAAACCCACACAACACAACTAGCTGGTGTATAGTACTGTTGGGGTCCTCAGTTCTGGCGAGCAACAAACAGAGTGAAGCTAAAGTATTTTTGGTGCTTGCATCCCACAATATTACAAGTTAAAGAAGGTCTATCATAAAAGTTTGGCATCTTAAAAACTTCAAATTTTATTTCATACATTTATTAGCATGATGTCCAAAATGTCGAGAAATTAAACATAAGGCAACAACATACCAAACAACTACAACTTAACAACAATTAACAATTATATCATAAGCTTTCTCACACACACACACACACACACACACACACACACACAACTACAACTTAACAACAATTAACGATTATATCATAAGCTTTCACACACACACACACACACACATCAAGCTTGAGAAAGTTTCCGAACATTCATGGGCCATATGTCGTTAGCATCACCATCTAACATGCGTTTTGCAACGATCATATTTGCTGCCTCAGAGGGATGGAAAGCGTCCCAGAACACGTACTTGGAACGATCCTCACAAACTGTTGATTCAGGAAAGCAAGGGATCAAACCGCCAAATCTTCCAGCCAGGTGACAGCACGACGAATCTGAATTCTCAAACCCTGTACGTTACCAAATGATCACACACCTTAATTATTAATCCTCTAAAATGAGATATATATATATATATATGTTCGACTCAAGCGCAAAGCTTCAGAAATGATACATATATATACCATATGCCTTGTAGTTCTGCAGAACGTCTTGCATGATGCGGTAACTATCTGCAAAAACATATATTGATCCTTGCAAGTTCTTGTTGAGTTTCTCAACGAGGCTCTTCAATTGAGAGTTGAAAGACTGAGCTAGCTGATTCGGGAAGCTCACACACCCATCTCCAGCGCCTGGGTTTATATCCCTTTGACTTGGTATGCACCCAATAGGCCCCACATTTGCGACCATAAATTTTCTGGCTCCCAGATTGAACAATCGCTTTGCAAATTAATATCAAACCAGAACTAATAAATAAGAAACACAGCAACATGGGAAAATATTTGAAGGTTTTGAGGAGGAAAATATATATAATTAATCATTACAGTGAGCTGTTGTCTGAAGGTTGATGCCATGGAGGCGACAAACGCTTGAGGAGATATCAAGTCCCTCTCAGCAGGACTGGTGACTGTGGGTGCTATATAGTTGCTGAGGAAATCATTGGATCCCAAGGATACTATAAAGATAGCTTTTTTCAATAGATCTTGCGCTGCAGAATCACCCATCATGGAAATCATGTCTTGCCTGTTGTTTTCAAAGTTATCTATCTGAGCGTCCATGTTGATTCGACCAACCTAACAATCACAAGCAGACATTCTTAAAAACTATGTGGTTCTAAATTCACTTACAAAACCTACACCTCACAGATTCAAATTTTGCTGTCAATGTGCTTGTCTTGTTGAATCTCAAGCCAAGACCCAACTTATCTAAACTTTTGATCAAGAAAAATTGGATGTTCATGTTTGTTTGGTCTGAATAAACTTACCCAAATTTGTCCAGTATGAAGTAAAATGCCACCTCCACCTGAAGCGTAATTGACTCCCTTGAGAATAGCAGATGCTTGTGTAGTTGGAGCCATATAAGGAGGAATGAAACTAAGACCTAATTCATTCGCTGGTGGCACGCATGATTATAATTGAAAGACAAAAGAGTAGTTATTAATTAATTTGCTAGCTAGTTTCAACCAAAGTAAGAAGAAAAATTAAAATGGAATAATTATATATATATATATATATGTATATAAATCGTGCATGCCTAAGATATCTGCAATGGTTCTTCCGTTGGTGAAACGTCCTGACGGTCCTCCAAAGTCAATTCCATTGGGGTTGTAGTCTGCCTTGGCGAATGAAACAAGATAGTTATTATTGCCAGAATCAAGCAGCGAGTCTCCAAACACAAAAACTGCAGGAACTTTATCTGATGAGCAAATCCTAAACAAGACACAAATAAAAGCCGCTAAAAATTGCAATAATGCAACCCCACAAGTGAGAGGTTTTCTCAAATCAATGGGCATCAGAACCGACGTCGTCATAGAGACTGATTCAATCCAAGTCAATCAACGTTTAGTGCTGGAGAACAATGCATGCACAAGGTAAGGGTGTATATATATATATATATATAAAAGGACATGGGACGGTTTCACCTGAAGTGGAGTAATAAGGGAATGCTAACGGAGGCCTTTAGTTAATATCTCATCTCTACTTGCCCTAACCACGTAAACGACACCCGGTATTATGCATGCAGACTTCAAGTGTATTATATATATATAACTAGCTAGAACCCTCACTTGCGTGTTACATTAATATATCCTATACTGGTAGTTTGATTTGTGTGTTTTGTAAATCACTTGTATACGCTTGTTTGTGTAGTTCCACATGGTGAAACCACACTAATGTGACATATTGCAATTAATAATAAAATAAATGTTTTAAATAATCAATACAAATAAAAAATGAAAACTAATTAAGTTGTATCATCAAATCCCATCACTGTTTAAAAATCGCTGACTTTGTACGTAAAAAAAAATTCATAATGATGATGATGATGATGGATATGATTATTTAATTTACACAGCTTTTTGATCCATATAATGTATTATATATTAAAATTAAACCTAAAAAAAAAAACCTAACAATGCTATGCTGTAGGAAAATTTCACTGAAATACTACACGCGCGTGAATACGGAAGTTAGTCATCAACGTGAATAATATTATTAAATTAGAAACAAAACAACATAAATCATGAAAGTTAAATTTTGGGCTATCCCTTAAAGTCCTCAAGGATGCCTGAATATACATATCACGAAACCGTTATTATTACTTGGAATCATAGGATGCCAACTAGCCAGGCAAATGGTTACATGTTACCATATCCTTCATTTGGCTAAGTGCAAAGTGCCGTACATTTATTTTTTATGAAGGGGGGAGGATAAAATCTTGTTTATTTAAAAAAATGATAAATTTTTTAACAAAAATGGATAACAAATAATTTTTATGTACAAAATTTGAGTTTAATTATCCAATATTTAAGACCATTCAGCATACTTAGATTGATAAACATTGAATTTATCTTCTCGTTGGTTCAATAATTTATTTAGCTTTTAAAAGATTGCATTCAAACCTATTTGACGCGACAACTCAAGTTTTGCTACCAGATGGAGAAGAGAATGATGAGACAGCATGTAATCCAACTCACATAGCAACACGTTTCTGGAAAGAAAACAGCACAAATAAAATTTCCATTTTTGAAAAAAAATAATAATGCCGGCAATGACATATGGTACGGGTGCTTAATGAGATATTCTATTAATTATTAGGAGGCTTAGGGTGGGCAGAGTGTCTGGGTGTAAAAAAAAGAAAAAAACGCCTAATATGCCTTTGGTCAGCCACATTGGGTTTCAGTTTTGGTGTTCATAACGAACAATTTGGGCTGTCCAGATTTTTGATTTAGATAATTCGGATTTACAAATTTTATCTTATATTTATTAAAATATAAAAATATAAAATTTTAATGTCTCTATCTTATCTTCAATTTGAATAATATCTATTTAATTTGTATGATCCAATTTAATATTAAATATTTTTATATTTTTTTTATAATTTGACTATTCAATATAAAATAAAACTAAAAAAATAAAATCTATATATTTGAACCGTCCAGATTTTTACAGGTGCTCACCAAGTGATGATACTCGTCACCTAACGAGCGTGGAACCCGGATGCTTGATCAGCGTGTTCAACATGCAGTGTGTATATATTTACAAAATTCTAAGACTAGCTGGTAGAAAGCTTTCATTATATTTAAACCTTCATATATAGTTGCAATATAACAAAAAACCGCAAATTAATAACAAATATTTCTTCTGGTTCATATTACAAGGCACTTCTAACTATTTTATTAGAATCAAGAAATAAATAAGTCATTGACTTTGTCTAAAAAAAGAAAGAATAAAATTTCAATTATAAAAGTTTTCATCATGATCTTTATGTAGGCAATCTTATATTCCCACACCACGTGAAAAATGGCATAAGTTGTTGGCATATTCTAACAAAGCCACCCTTATCTGATATTGACATAGATCGATCGCTCTTAAATGTTTTGCCCACCATATTACCTATTTGACTGAGAGGCTCAACATTATACAGCTCAAGAGGCAGATCAAGAATTTGGATCCAGGTATAGCAATCTTGCATTGTCTATCAGCTCTCCACGGGTTGAAGTTTGGCCTCCCATTTTTGCACCAAATGATAATGATCATCAATCATCTATGGCCCCTCCTAATAAGCATAATCTAAATCCTCCTTCTTCATGGAAGAAGCCACAAAATAACCATTACTCAAGGGAGTTATGAGCATTAGATCAGTTAACCTCCATATACGCGCTAAGTGGGGTTGAAGAAATCCTAAGGGAATGGTCCTCCCAAGCACTTTGACAATCAACAAATTCATCCAAGGGTGACACCATGATGTTTACTACTTTGCAAAGGCTTTAAGCTCCGTGAAATTGGTCCTTCGTCCTACTTCTTGCACATCATCATCCTCCTCTGAACCATCAGAGGTCTTGCTACTCTGTTGGGCATGCAACTTGTGAAAATATCCCTCCCACCCATTCACAATATCATCGTTCGCATTTCGCATCATTATAAGATAGAAACTCCAACGAGTTTAAACTGAGTAGAGTCCTTATAGGATCCCCCATCCTTCGAGTTATGCCCTACAGGGCGTTTGACCAATCTCCATACCATTCCTTCTATCCTCTATATAAAGGAGGCTTATGTATTCTTGATAAATGTCATACCCTCTCCGTCGTTAACCACCCCTTCCTTCCTACCCCTATCGGGACCACCACTACTCTCCTCACCATTCTTGTTTTAATATTTGCAAAAATATTAATGTCATACTCAACATAAAATGTACAGTTCACAATTGGCTGCGCTGTTGCCTGTTCACGGATCTTAAAAAATGTAATTTTTTTCCTCTAAAATTTCACATAAATTAAGGGATCATTTTTAGAATAGTGACAAAGACAATATGATTGATCAAGTATATAATTCTTACACAAAAATTTGATTAATAGTCAGCACTATTCTAAACTATAAAATTTCAATTGATTACTCTTTCTATTAAAAAATATGTTTAAGCGAAAAAAATATAATTAATCAAAAAAGGTTGAGGTTTAATATGACTATTCCAACTCTTATCTAGTGTCTTTGGCCCAAAAAAAAAAAAAAAAGTCTTATCTATTGTCTGTGAACTCTGGCGACAAGATCAAAAGAGTAAAGGTGCATTCTTATTTTTGAAACATTATTTGAAGAGCACCTAACATTTTAAATCATTGAACGAAACAATTTTACCATTAAAGTAATATATTAAAATGGAGTATTTCTATCATTGTTGTCAAGTTTCTTAATAGTCAATGTTGTAGTCTTAGATAACATTTTAAAATGGTTAATGTTGAGAATTTGATAATAAGGGTAAAAATATTTTGTTTTAATTACTTTAATAGTAAAATTGTTTTGAGCAATAATTTAAATTTTAGAGTGGTAGCTACTCATTGAAGAATACTTTAAAAGTAAAAATATACCTTTAGTCAAATAAAAAAAAAACTACGTTCTGAACTGTTCTGGCAAGAATTTATCATATCGTTTTCATTATTTACACTTAATAATCAATAAGCAATAATAATAAGAATGTCACTCTTTACTTAAAAATGTTCACTTTTTTTGTAATAAACAAGATTAAAAACCAGAATTATTGTGCACGCGCATGCCATTATTATTATTATTTTTTGGAACAGAAGTTACACGTGCCTCTCAAATGCATCGTATCGTCCTTTTGCTCAGACATCGATCTGCAAATAAAAGTGCATCGGCGCTCCCCTTCAAACCACTCTCCGAGTTCTCTTCTTTGTATCATTTCGTCAGATCTATGCTTCTAAATCTCAGATCCTCTGCGTGTAGGCCCTCATCTCTCTCTGCATTTATGGTTTTTCTTCTGATTTTGTATCTGGGCTGGGATCAGATGGGTAGTTTGTTAATGGACAACAAGCTTGTTCGATATTATAAACCATTTATGAATATTTCAAAAAGAAATATTACAAATTAATAATATTAATTACTATAAACCCTACTTAAATATATTTATTTCACTTTATTATTGTCTTTAACGGACTTTTAATTATAATTAAGATAGTTTTATTGTTTAGTGTTTTGAGGCCCCTGCATACAAATGATAATGCTTGTCACATGTTTTGAATAAGTCTTGGGACTTTTGGGCTTTCTCTCCTCTTATGTCATATTGTTTTATAGATGACGGTGTTTGGATTTATTTTGTAAATTTTTATTATTCTATCTCCCTACTTTTGCACGAAGAACATGTTTAATTTTGTTGAACTGCCACGCAATTAACCTATGGTGATAGAATAGTTCTTAAGAACATTATGACATCTTAATCTTTAGATGACAACTAAATTATGGAATTTAGGTTTTTATTGAGGATTTAAAATCAAGAATTTACATTGTTTTAAGGTTTAAATTAATAAATGAATTTGTGTACATTCGAGGTTATTTGAAGTTAATCATATGTTTAGGCACCTAATTATGGACTAACATTATACAACGGTGATAACTAAATTTTATATTCAGATAAAAAAAAATTCATTGATAATCAAATAAAATATTATAAGAGTCAAAACTTGTTATCTTATAGTTGGCTAATAATGAGACTGAGTAGTTAGAAAACTTCTTAGTGAATATTTTATTGAGATTAAAATCGACATAAATTATGTTGATGATTTGGGATAGTTAATTAGCGATAGCTATAGTTAAAAATAAGACTTTTAGTGGCACAAGTGGACATCGTTTGAGATATGATTAAGCATGCTGAAAAGTGAAGTTATCTCAATCAATTATGTGGGATTAGATATAAATTTGATGAATCCGTCAATTGGCCCTTAAGAAAGAATTTAATTATTTAATGTTAAGAGGAATGGACTTAACCTAATTTAAAATTAACAGTGATGACAATTTAATATTTGTGATTGGAGATTCCATGAATAAGG